CAAACCTACATTCCTAATGTCTGCTCTTTGTTTTGCTTATTAAAAATATTTAAATTTTCTAAGATGGTTTGCTAGGTAAAATGAGCTGTCGAATTTGACTAGGTCTTAAATATTTAGCTCACAAAGTTGGGTTTGCCCCAGGCAATACTGTGAACTTAGCAAAAATGTACTCTCTGAAATCTTTCCTCCCTTGACTGTAACTTTACACCCACCCCCACCCCCCACTGCAATGCCTACTCCTAGTTCTGTTTACCTCCAGATTCTCCCTGGCTAATTTGCACCTGAAAAAAATGATTCCTAGAGAGGGGTATTTTTTAATCAAATGGAATGAATAAATAATTTAAATTTTAGGCATTAAAGGGAGTACAAAGGTTTATCAGCCCCATTCAAATCACAATGGTACTTCATCTTCAGTTGTGGTCTGTACTCTGGTTTATGTAGAAACACCCAGATAGCCTCTTTAAAATACTGAAAGTTGAGACCCTACTCACAGAGATTCTAATTTACTTGGACTAGGTTCAGACCTGAACAAAGGTGTATTTTTAAAGCTCCCCAGGCAATTCTGTTGTGCTGTCAGAGTTGGGAACCACTGATTTAAACCTAAATTGGCCCTGCTCTTGAGAAAAAGAAAAGCTGAATGCCATTTGAAGATCAAACCTTAAAGCAGGTGAGGGTGGAGGGACTGCGAGAATCATTGATAAAGTGAACAGAAAGTTAAAAATAGGCCCAGAAATTCCATAATAAGCAAGTGCTTGGCAGCACCAAAGGAAGAAGTTAACCTATGGCAAATTCGGTCTCTCATTCCCAAACCTCCAGGGCAAATGGCCTGGCCCTGTTGGTCCTTAAACCTGCTTTCCAAAGGGCTCATGGGTATGACCTGAGATAAAATCTCTGAGCTAAGGAGCTAAGTCCTCAAATGGTTGTTGATGTACCTGAGTTAGTAGTTCTTCAGTAGATGAAACAATTTTACATAGAAGATAAATGATTTTTTTTACAAATGAGATTTGTGTTGCTTATTTATATTTTACTGAGCACTAAGGGTTCAGCATTTTTTATTAATTTGTCTTTTATATAAAGCAATTCCAGGATGGATAAAGGGTCAGTTCACATTGTGTAGCTGGATCATCTTTGCCTAAACTTTGGCCTCCCCAGTCATCTCATAGCAGCCCCTTGCTGTTGATAGCATAACAAAGCCCTTATTATGATATAATGTTTCTCATCTCATCACTGTTTTGTTGGCCTTTGCCATATTTCCCTGCTTCAAAAGTGGTCCTACATAAAAGTGAATAGAGCACATGGGCTACCTTTTACCCAGAAGTTTTGTTGTTGTTTTTCTGGACACAGTTTTAAATAAATTCGGCTGCAGAAACATCTTTGGTATTCTGAGCAGGCAGTATCTTTTATTTTTATCAAAAATCTCATGGAGAACAAAGCTCCTGGGAGTGTCTATCCTTTGACAAGCCCCTGCTCTGAGATAGCTGGATAAGAATCAAGCACCCAGGGGAATTTCCTTGATCAAAACAGGGAAACAAGTTACACTCTGCCTTTTTAGAGAGATGCCTACAGAAATATGGGAATGGAATTTAGAAAAACTAGCCCTCATTGTATTTCTTCCTTTATGCATATATTTACCTTTATAAGTACCTACACATTTGTTTATTTACTTGATTAAAACAAGGCCAATTATAACTATACCTTATTTGGCAGCATTGCAAAGTTTAATTACTGTTTCTAATTTATGCATTGAAATCACAAAATGAAAGATTCTAATATATGGAATATGTGGTAAGTGCCCAATCTGGTTTAGTCTGATAATGGCCATAATTGTATGGTGTCCTGCACTGCATGTCTACATTATTGTGGTTTCAGTGATTTCAGCCTTGAAAAATGTATTTTTATGTTGAGGATGTGTTTAACATTGGGTGTATAGAATATACACTTATATTTTAGCTAGCCTCAGTTAGTTGATTCTTGAAGTAAATAATGTTTTACAAAGCAATGTGGGAGGTTTTTCTTCCTTTAGATTGGTTCAAGGGGCCAAGAAGACACAAAGTTCTGGTACTCACACATCATATAATATCTAAGTTGGTTTGTGCCATAAAATGTAAATATCAAATTAAAAACTCACTATTAAAATAACACACATATTAGGATGTGCTATTTATCGAGGACTAACCTGGCACAAAGTAAAATGAGGCTATAAAGTGTCAAAAGGAAGATTATTATTAATTACTAAGAAAAAATATTTTTTCCACAAAACTCACTTGAGGCTATTTCACAGAAAACTTAAATAGTAGGTTGGACTATTGGACCATTGAAATTAAACTAGAGCTCAAGAGCCAAGGATCTGTGCTTTCATAACTAACACACAACTCCAGAGAGTGAAGGATTTAGATAACCATGTCAGATTAGGAGCTATTATTACTAGAATGTAGTTGAATATTAACAGGCCTCAGCCTATCCTTTATGTTACTTATAAAAGTTTATCTTTGTGTGGCAAACCAGTTTTCTTTTATCTTTATGTCCATTGCCTTTCAGTTGCACTAATATTTGTCATTTTAAAAATAGCTAGCACTTCCATACATCATTCTAAGGAATATAATTCATGAATTAGAACAGGACCCACATTTTTGTTTTGTAAAGTTCTTGGTTAAAATGCAAATTGTCCTAGTAGAGGTACTTTTAGGGCATTATCAGCTGATCCACCCATACACGAATTTTAGGAATATAGCTGCATGAATTAGAACAACCTTGTTCATAATCCCGAAAATTAACCAGTTAGTCCTCCATGACATTATTTTATTCTCATTCAGTGAAATATTCCATTCAGTAAGTATTTACTCTGCATATACACATGTTCAGCATCCTGTGAAATGTGAGACACAATAAAGAAGGATTTAATATTTTCGGATACCTTCCTTGGTCTTAAGAGTTTACAGTCACATATTAGGCACTAAGAACCATGGTTCTTTAAAAACAGACAGGAGTCTATCTTCCCCCTTTCAGGCCTCTATCTTCCTATTTTTGTGTGGCTCAGGAGCCTAAATTCCATAGAGCCTTGCTCTCAGCTGGCTCATCAAACAACACAAAGCTGATAATGGCCCATTGTGGTAACTTTTCTAGGAAGATTTGCATTTTAACTAAGGAATTTTCAAGACAAAAGCAAAGTGAAAACAAAAACAATCAAAAAGAATAAACTGAGCCTGTGCAAACAAAGGTAGAAAATTTATTTATTCTTAGGGTTCTGATAGGTCTATCTCAAGTTATAGGATACAAACTGCTTTTTAAAAAAGAATTTTTTTTTCGTTAATCCTCACCCAAGAACATTTCTTTTTCCACTGATTTTTAGAGACAATGGAAGGGAGGGAGCGAAGAAGGAGAGAGAAACTCTATGTCAGACTTTTCAATTGGTTGCCTCCTGCACACACCAGACCAGGGATCTAACCTGCAACCCAGGTACATGCCCTTGACCAGGAATCAAACCCAAGACTGAGGGCCGACTTTCTAACTACTGAGCCACTAGCCAGGGAACAAACTGCTTTTATTCCACCCACAATCCTGTCACTTCCCTGCTTTTAAAAGCCCAGCTTGCTTGCTGGTTTCCATGCTGTCTATTCCAGCCTACAGGGTAGACTCCAAAATTTTTGACTTTTTGTGCCAGGCACTCCTGAGCCTCACCTTCCTTACTTCCAACCAGACACATCCTACTTTCCAGCCCCACTACACTTTCCATATTTCTATAAATAGGCAAGGCCTTCTCACAACTCCCTCCTTTGCCTGTTTTCCACTGCCTAAAATGCCTTTTACCTTGTTTCTCCTCTTGTCTTTTTGGAAACTCCCACTTTGAGACCCAGCATGAATGTCAATTCTGTGAAACTCCATTACAAAATTCCCCCAAATTTCTTGTTTCACCTATTTCCACAGCACTTTGTACACCTGTTAGAGTAGTATATGGAAATTAGTTTTGAAATTCTCTTACCTCACTGGCTTCTCACTGGCAGGGCCTGACATAGCTTCTGGCATATATAGTCTTTCAATACATGCTTGTTGAATGTTTCTCCAGTTAGAATAATCAACAGGTTGGCAAATTTAGCTTTATTTGACATTGTGTTCTCTGCCCCCTAATGTTCTCAGGTTAAATAAAAACTCCCAGCAGGGAAATTTACAAGGTTTATAATTTAACAAAATTTAGAGGTTTGTTCTTATGAGTAATCAAAACTTTGGGTCGTGGAATACAATGATAGAAAACATTGTTTTAATATTTTTTAACAAATATTCTCCTAAAATTTCTTCTTTTAGACAACGTATATGAGCTGAGATTTAGTAAAATTAAGTGACTTTGTTTAGTCTTTACACTCTCGGGTTAATGACTGATGGGGTCGGATTGGTCCTGGGAATTGTGGTGTGTATGTATGTGTGTGTGTGGGGGTGATGTTAGTTACCTTCCTGTTTTTCAGCTTTAGAATGCACCTTTAACTTTGGCTTGCCATCTTATAAAATGTTCTTGGTAGGGAGGGAAAAAAGTTCGCAGCGACATAACTGAGAAAGATATAAAAACTCAGGCCCTATTCAGTATTGGCTCATTAAGTGTCCTTGACATAAGCGAAACAATTCACAGCTCAACCAAATCAAAAACTCCTTTTCTTGTTATCTAAACTGTTTTCTCATTCCTGTCCTGACATTCCTCCCTAGCAGCAGACATAGTGGCATGTTTTTATCCACTTAGGCTTACTCCTTCCCGTGCCTTGCAACTCCTCCTTATTCCTTTATCTCTTTCAAAGTTTCCATTCTCCCTTCCCTCACTCGTTACTTCCTCCCTTTCTCCATCCCTCTTTCCCTCCTCCCCTATTTTCCCATCCAGCTCACCCCGCCCCTCACAGTCACCACCTTCCCTCCCTTTCGGGATCCGTCCGGATCCCGTCTCCCACCACCTTACTCCCCCCGCCCCGCGCCGGCCTTGCGCTCACAAAGCTCCAATCAGTAGCTCCGAAGGTGTCCCAAGGCCCGCCCCCTCCGCCGGGTCCAAAGCTCTCACCCCTTTTCCCCTCCCCCACACCCCCCAAGTCCTGCGGACCTGGGGGCTTCAGAATCTGGAGCTATGAAAAGTATCTCTTCAGTCACTTCCGGTAAGAGCGCTGCGGCACGGAGCTTCCCGCGGGACCGTTAAGGAGCCGTTGGGAGTTGTCCGGGAGCAGGGTGAGGAGAGCGCTGCCTGGCTCGGGGTGAGAGGGAATGAGAAGAGGGAGCAAGAGAGTGAGAGGGGGGCAGGAGAGTGAAAGGGGGCCCGGGAGAGTGAGAAGGGGGAGCGGGAGAGTGAAGCGGGGCGGGAGAGTGCGGCGGGGCGGAAGAGTTAGGGGAGCGAGCGAGGGGAGAGAGCGAGCGAGAGCCCTAGAGTCCGAGCGTCTAAAGCACCTCGGTCGCTGCTTTCCCGCCGCCTGCCAGCTCCTCCGCCCCCCTGGAGACCGCAGTGCTTCTCTCCACCCCGCTCCGACTCTCCGGTTCTGACACCGCCCCGCTCTCGCTGCCGCGTGACCGGAAGTAGCGCCATCTTTAGCCTCTCGTGCTCTCGACAATAACAAGCCCCAGCTCGCTCCCCCTCCCCCCAACCAGGGCAGCTCCCCTCCCTCCTAGAGGGAGAGAAGGGGGGAGGAGCTGCCGCCTCACAGACTCACTGAGTCGCTCCTGCAGCAAGGGGAGGGGGAGGGGGGGGGAGAGAGAGACCGAAAAGCAGGAAAGGCGGACGGTTTGGCCGTTTACCTGTCTGCCTTCTCATTCGCTCTCCCCCCTTGTTCTGTTCGCTCCTGGTGTCAGCCTATCCGCCTTCCCAAACCCTCCCATTCCCCCGGTGTAACCCCCCCTTCACTTTCCTTCTTGTCCTCTGTGTTTCTCCTCTCTTCTTTCTTCCCTTCCCCCTCTAGCATTGCCACCTTCTCTCCGACACGCACGCAGGCACATAAACGTAGGTTTTTGATGCTCCTCTGCCTGTTGACCGCGCTATTTTCATGTTTCCAACAGGTTTTTCTTCCCCCAATTCCTCAGCTGCTGCTGCTGCTCAGGAGGTCAGATCTGCCACTGATGGTAATACCAGCACCACTCCGCCCACCTCTGCCAAGAAGAGAAAGTTAAATAGCAGCAGCAGCAGCGGCAGTAACAGTAGTAACGAGAGAGACGACTTTGATTCCACCTCTCCTTCCTCTTCTACTCCTCCTTTACCACCTAGGGATTCGGCATCCCCTTCAACCTCGTCTTTCTGCGTGGGGGTTTCGTTAGCTGCTTCCAGCCACGTACCGGTACAGAAGAAGCTGCGGTTTGAAGACACCCTGGAGTTTGTAGGATTTGATGCGAAGATGGCTGAGGAATCTTCCTCCTCCTCCTCCTCATCTTCACCAACTGCTGCAACATCTCAGCAGCAGCAAATTAAAAATAAGAGTATATTAATCTCTTCTGTGGCTTCAGGGCATCACGCTAACGGCCTGGCTAAATCTTCTACCACCGCTTCTAGCTTTGCTAACAGCAAGCCTGGCTCTGCTAAGAAGTTAGTGATCAAGAACTTTAAAGGTAACCAAGGCTAAAATCCATAATCACCTAAGAATTTGACACTTGAGCGGTCACGTGCCTATTTATGTTAATATATTAAACTGAATAGAGGTGGCCTAATGTTTTATGCATAATCAATGAAGTGGAGGGAGGTCCTTTTTTGGGTGGAGGGTTCATTTTCCGGGGGTGGTTGGTATCCTGGTGCTGAAGCATACACTGGGTGTTTCTGTGCAGGATTTTGAGATCTATCTCAGGTTATTGTAGCTAATCTGTTATTCCTTATAATATTGACATTCGGTATGAGTGATCCGGATTTTACAGGTGAGAGATTTATATTCTAAAGAGCTTTCTTTATTTCAGGTACATAGTCTTGGCACTGCTACGATTTTTATTTTTGTGCTCCAGTAGGCCACATTCTCCAGTTTCTAGAAATGCAGGTAGCAATGATGATCATTTCATGCTCAAAGATTTATAGTTAGATTCATAATGTTGAATACTATATTCTTGAAACTCACTGTGGAAGCAATATTTGGAGAAAAATATTTATGATCTCTGCATTTCTTTCCAAAGGTAGGGTTTGGAAGTGAAAAATGCTGTATATACACAGAAGTCGTAACTCTCTTTACCACTAGTCTAAAGATAGGAAAAATTACTATACCTATATTTTATCATTAGAATGGGCTTTAAAGTACTGACCTGCAGCTTTTCAGAACATTTGTTCATTTTTCTGTTTGATATATATGATTGAGAGTATTATGAATACATTGATACAAGAATAAAATTAGCGATTTAAAAAATGTCAATTGAGCTGAATTAGTTTGCATCTGTGGGCTGTGTTTCTATTTTTCTGACTTTTTCAACACTCTTAACTGGCAGGTAATAGATGCTAAACTGTTAAATGGAGAAGTAAATGAATGAACTAAAGTAATTACCAGATTAGTGCCTTGTGACTAAATATCAATATTGGGAAAATAGATTTCCCATGCTTGTGTTTTCAACATTAATTTGGAAATCAGGACTATGCTCTATTTTGTCTCAAGTAGAGGGTTATAGTGTTGTTTATTTTTAACCTTTTCTTTTCTGTCACTCCTCTTCCATTCCCAGGCTCTCAAGAGTGTTGTAATCTTCTTAATTTAATAGTAGACTTTTCTGAAGTAGATATAAATTACAGTTGACTAATGTGTTCACTGTTTCACTTAAAATACATTGATTTAATAGCCAAGGGTTTTTTAAGGGATGAGCTATGATCCTAATGCATTTGTATACTGGTTTCAGAGATTTTGTTTGGATTTTTTCTCTCCCTCTTAAATAGAAAACACATTATTAAGGCATTTAGATGTTTTAATTTAAAAAAATACTCGTTGCTAATAAAGGAAATTTAAAGCCTGGATTAATATGTTCCTTTCCTTTCTGAAAATACTACATAGGTTCTGAAGTCATTGGGGTGTTTTGATTTTTAAAAATCTCACTGTGCTCATAAATGTAGTTTAAATTCAAACCTGAATTAAAAATGGTTGTCTCCATTTATGTAGACCCTGCATAAATGTGGGGGCCAAACAGACTTGGATTAGAATCCCAATTTTGCCACTGACTGACTATAGTGACCTTGGGCAAACCTTACTAAATAAATCTTCCAGCCTCAGTTTTCTCAGTTGCAAAATAGGGAAAAAGATACCTTGCTCAAGGCATTATTAGAAAAATTAAGATGTTTTTAAAGTACCTTGTACATAATAGGTTCTCAGTATTTTAAAACTCAGGTATAAAATTCATGTTGACTGACTGAGGTTTTACACATGATGGAATAAGATCAGGATTGCTTTTTTTATTTGTCATTCTTGAATTTTTATTTTTTGAAACAATACAGTCAATAGTAGAAAGAAACCTCACTTTCAGTTTTAATAGGTGACTCAAAATGACTTAAATAGTATTCTCCCATTTCAAACTTTATTCTTTATACTAAGCCTAAATACAGCGGTTACTTTAATATTCAGGTGTAATAATTACAAAGATCACAATTTACCCTTAAAAAGTAGTAATATTATTGTATTTTATGGATCCTTCTGTTGCTCTGATAAGTTGTGTTACTCTATCCTACATATTATTCTGATACCAACTTTTTATATATTATCTAGATAAGCCTAAATTACCAGAAAACTACACAGATGAAACATGGCAGAAACTGAAAGAAGCAGTAGAAGCTATCCAGAATAGTACTTCGATTAAGTACAATTTAGAAGAACTCTATCAGGTATGTATTAATGTGGATAACCAGCTTTGGTCAGTGTAAACTGAGATGGATGTATATGACTTTTACTTTATGGTTTTACATTTAGAAATTTTTTCAATTTTAGTTTACATTTAATATTATTCTGTATTAGTTTCATGTGTATAGCATAGTGGTTAGACAATCATATACTTTACGAAGTGTTCTCCCTAATATGGGTCCTTATGTAGCCTTTTGGTTCCCCTTAAATTACAATTTCTTATTAATTTATGCACACTTTAATAAACTATGGGTACAATCATATTGGTATAAATTGGGCTTATCTCCTTCTGATTAGGATTTACAATTAGGAGTACTTTCATATAATAGAGTTTTACCTATCTATACCTGAATCCCAAAGATGATTTCTGGTGACATGTCCTTCTGTTGTACTTGCTAAGTTGTGTTACTCACCTATGGGAAAGGCCTCAAAAAAATGCAGGTATTCTCCATATACTTTTGTCTACCTCCTTCCTGTTAGCCTTTTGACATTTCTTTTTATGTTCTTCTTACCTTCTGGGACACACCTTACCCAAAAAAATGAGCTGCAGGTTGTAGCCCAGCAACTTGGCGTGAGGTCCAGGTTTGTTTTTCATGCTTAGCAATGGGTCTGTACTTGAAGTGTTTAATTTAAATATACTCTTAAGAACAATTAATAATTTAGACTTCTTGCTACCAACTTATTTTGCCCTACTGAATTTTTAAAATTGATTTTATGGAAAGGAAGGGAGAGAGAAACATAGATCAGTTGCCTCCCGAATGCGCCCCGACCAGGGATAGAACCTGCAGCCTGGGTATGTGCTCTGATCAGGAATCAAACCTGCCACCTTTTTGGTGTACCGGATGATGTTCCAACAAATTGAGCCATGTTGGCCAGGGATGCCCTACTGCATTTTTTTAAAATACATTTTTATTGATTTCAGAGAGGAAGGGAGAGAGAAACATCAATGATGAGAATCATTGATCGGCTGCCTCTCCTGCACACCCCGCACTGGGGATTGAGCTTGCAACCCGGGCTACTGCCCTGACTGGGAATCAAACCATGACCTCCTGCTTCAACCACTCTCAACCACTGAGCTATGCCAGCTGGGCTGCCATACTATATTTTTGACACAACCAATTCAAGAAGTTATTTCGCATTATAGCAACAATTTTGTATTCAAATATTTCGGAGTCCAGTAGTTAGAGTTTTTACATTAATGAGTAGCTTGTAAGAAATTATGTTGGGTTGATCATAATTCATAGTTTCATATATGTTCATTTTATCTATTTATTTAAATGTTTTTATTGATTTTAGAGAGAGAGGGAGGGAGAGAGAAAAACATGGATTGGCTGCCTCCTGCATGCCCCTGCTGGGATTCAAGTCTGCAACCTGGGCATGTGCCCTGAGGGGATATCAAACCTGTTACCTCTTGGTACATGAGAAGACACTCTAACCAATTGAGCCACATCAGCCAGGGCTCATCTGTACATTTTAGTTGCAGAGGTAGTATGGTGATTGAAAAATCCTAGATTAGGATCTAGTTTTGATTGCAATTACCCTTTTGATCTTGGGCAAGGAACCCGGCTTTGGTTTCCTCCTCTGTAACATAGGGGGGAAAATGCCTGTCCTATTTAACTCATGGGTTGCTCATAAGAATCAAATAAAATGTGAAAAATACCTTGAATCACTATGATATATAGAAGTATAAGTCAAACTTATTTCATAAGCCAGTGTGGCCTTTTCACTTGTGATTTGTCAGTGGTGAGATCACCATTTTCTGTTGCTGTGAAAATTAAATGAGTCAGTGCATGCAAAACAATAAGAACAATGCCCAACACATGGTAATAATGCTATGTAATACCATAAGCATTACAGTGCTGATACCTTAAGTATTATAATGCTATGTGTCAGGTAGTAGTAGTAGTACCTCAGCTATTGCTTCAGGATAAACCCACCTCATTTGGCTATGTTGGTAGATTCCTTACGTGGCTCCTCATTTGTACAACAATAAAAGTAAAATTACAGAATTAAGAGTTAGAAAGGCCTTAAGAGATCATGTGGTCTAATATCTTCGTAGAGTGCACATGGCAGCCTATAAAGGTTCATCTCTTACCTCATTTAAGCATTATAGAAACCCTTTGTGAAGTAGATAGGGTAGTAATTATTATCCCTATTCTACTAATGAGGAAACTGAGTCTCAGGGAAGTTAAATAATGTGCCCAGAGTCATATATTGATACAGCAGGGGACTCAAACGAAGATGCCCAAGTTTCTATTTCTACTTCAGTGCACTTTCCCTACCATGCTGCCTCACTAATACACCATAGCCCTTTAAATAGTGCAGTGTTTAAAGCAAATATTTTTACTTTAGGAGAAAAGACTCTGTCATCAAAGGTGATTTTTTTCATTTGTGCATATGTAGGGTGTTTATTTGGATACACTGTGTACAGCATCTTTAATTTCTATGATGTACTTTTTTTATCTTTAATTTCTTCATTGGTTAAGGTATTTCAAATGTGTTCTCATCCCCCCATTAACCCCCAACCTCCCTCCCCTCCACTCATGCTCTCATCCCCGTTGTCCGTGTCCATTGGTTTGGCTTATATGCATGCATACAAGTCCTTTAGTTGATCTCTTCCCCTTACCCCCACCCTCCCCTACTTTCCCTCTGGGGATTGATAGTCTGATTGCTGTTTCTCTGTC